GACATTTGGTGGCTGCAAGGACAACGAGAAAATCATTAGTGCTCAAAAGGCCATCCAACACAAGGGCATTTATACTACAAATCCATCTTTGGCCAAGTTGGCAATTAAAATTATTGTAATGGATGGGAGAGAGTACAAGGTATTTAAACACTCATAAAGTGGTAGCGCAGATATTGCATCTGCAGGAACTGCATATTAACGGATCCAAAGTCATTAGCTGCATTAGTATGAGCATAAAGCTACATTCGGTTTAGGAAACTGGCAAAAGCATTTGCTACATTAGTTTGTGAGACATTGTTGATTTCCTCAATCTATGAAATTGAATGCTCAGCACATCCATTCTGGTTCTGCACTCTGTTCTGTGCGGCTCCTGTGGACAGGACTGTCTTTGGACAAGATCCTACACACAATCTTCACACAATGCACGCTGTTACACATTCATTCAGTTATGTCATTTTGGTGTTAAATGGCAACTGATTGATCAACAGAATGTGTAATGAGATATGGAGTTGGATGGAGAATGGGGAAACAACCAAAGGATTACTACTATCAATTTCAACAAAGGCAAAGAGATATGCATTGAGTGTGCATTATTGTTGTCCTTACATGACTTCAAGCCCATTGTGACCCATAATTACTCTATCATAGGGGTATTTTGGTAAATAATTATTCAGATAAGTTTTACCATTGCCTTCCTCTAAGGCTCATAAAATGTGACTGGTCCCAGGGGGTTCTTGTGGTTCAGCTGGCATTCCCAAAATGTGTTCTTAGCCTACATATGAGGTTGACTTATACTTATGTATATTTTATATATGATTATTAGGCTTATTTGATTTTAAAAAATGGTTCAAAACTCATTTCAGCTGTAGGGGGCACTGGTGGTTTGAGTCTAAAGTCACTTCCTTTAAAAACATTTTTTTCAAAACTTTCCGAAACTTCCGAAACAGCTTTGTTAATGGCAGATACACATGTGCAGTAGGAAAAAACAGCACTAGCACTGGGGAAACTTCACAGGCTCTTCCACTCAGGCCACTCCTGACCGAGGGGCTCTTCCACTCCAGGCCTGCCTCAGTTGTCAATGCCTTTGAGGAGGAGGAGGAGGAGGAGGCTGTGACACCCCCTCAGGTGTCACTTGGCTCCTGCTGCCGGGCTTCAGCCAGGCAGCGGGCTTCAGGCTGTTAGGAATAATGGGAATGGAAATCCAAAACACCTGGAGGGGCCAAAGTTTGCCCAGGCCTGGATTAGATGCAGCCATGCCACAGTTCAATGTTATGGGATCCTGGGGTRTGTAGTATGGCACTCTTTGGCAAAGGAGGCTAAAAACCATGCAAAACTACAGCTCCCAGGATTGTGTAGCATTGAGGCAAAGCAGTTGGAAGTGGTTCCTAGATAAGATCTGCGTGATCCACCTGGAGGGAGGGAGGCAGGAGAGGGAATGAAGGAAYAAAGGAGGGAGGGAGGAAGGAAGGYAGGGAGGGAGGAAGGAAGGGYGGGAGGGAGYYAGGGAGGGAGGAAGGGGAGGAAGGGAAGGAAGGTGCTTCTGACAGGTTCTCCTTCCTTTRCATCCCAGTGATAGCCTTCTTTGCACATTTCTTGTGCTATTATTTAGCACTGGTCTCATAATTAGAAACATTGGGACAGTAGATGTCAACAAGAATTTTTCTTTGCTCAGTTGATTCTATGGTTTTCAGTAGGGGATCTTTTTCTCTATCAATCAGGGAGAGAGACATGTTTCAATGCCAAATCAGGCTACTGGTAAGACTTCTCAAGGACTGTACTAACTATATTAAAGTGCCACTTTTGACTTAAGTAGCACATTCTCTCTATCCCTTGAAACTCTAATACTATCCCATCTCCTACAATTTTTACAGTCATGCACTAATTTACAGTATTTCTCTAGCAAGTCATGAAGTTCAATACACCATGGTCGAAAGAGTAACTAATCACAGCACAACTGTAATCATGCTTTAAATGGGATTAATGAGTAAACCTACTACTTCATGTAATTTTATGTTTTACTTTGGTTTGCATGGGTCATTAAGATTCGTTCAGAGTTTTACTGTGTTCTTTGATGTGTACTAATAATGTTTCTCATGGTTACACAGAAGAATGATTTCTAAATAGGCCTGCAATAAGAAAAAATGCCATAATTAAATCATAATAATTAACATGGATATTGGATTGCAATTTGGATAATTCACGCTTGGAAACTGGGGCTTTGTTCACATTAGGACCTTCAGTGTATGTTAAATGGCTTAAAAAGCTGTGACACTGGTAAGCTTGCACAGATAGTATTCACATGTTCTACATTTTCATTTTAAAGCCTTATAGATCATTTCACTCTGGGCCAGAAATAACTAATTTATGTAATTTCTGATGTGCATCCAGAGGCCCAGGGTTAAGAGGTTTGTTGTGGCACATCATAAAGATGGTTAATCAAATAGTCTAATAACATTTAATAACTGGTTTAATAAAATCTGTGCCACCTATCAGGGCGAGCTTTTTAGTTGACAACAATATGGATGTTTATTTTGCACTAAAGCCCAACGGGACTAAAGAGCAAACATGTCCATTTACTATGAAATAAACCATGAACGGACTGCAGTATAACACTGCAACAGTAATATTGTACCATATTTACAGTATCACATGCACATCTAAAAGAAAGAGGTGATCATAACATGTAGAAGAGGGATCAGGAACACATAGCACTCCAAACTACAAGTTCCATCAACCTTACCTAGCATAAACTATGCTGAGGGATCATGAGAATTGCATCGTAATCATATCTGAAAAATAACAAATATGAGTGCTAGAAACTTGATAAGATAGAACTGGATGAGGAAAGAGTTAGGATTCCTGCTGTTTGGAAGAAGCTTGTAAGGAGGAAAAAGGGCTTGAATTGCACTCAAAGTGACTGCTTTGTCAGTACTTCAACTGAGATGATGGTAGATGGCCAGATACATTCAATGAGTACATTTGAACAGAGATGCCAGAAAATAACTCGGGACCATGACTAGGGTTGGGTTCTAGCACTATCATTGTGGAAGCATTTTAACAAAGGCCTATGAATCGAAAACTTCAAATTCCTTATAGTTTAAAGTGTACTCTTTAAGGGGTAATTTCATTCCACCCAACTCCATATCACCTTCTGAGCCCATGAAACAAGATAAAAGAGAATTGTAAGAAGTAATTTCATGTCTAATTTGGCCCATCTATTTGAACTAGTGATTATTTATTGACAGGTCTCCTTCCCTATAATCAAAGACTGGGTAGAGGATTTAACACATTTAGAAAACAGTTACCATGAATTGAACTTAATAAAGAAGAAGAAAACAAAATGAAACACAAAATCCATCACCAAGGGCGCTTCCACATAGTTGTTTATACCAGGAACATTCGCATTTTTAAAAACGTGGATGTTCCTGGGCCCCTATTCACACACACAGATGTTCTCCCAGAACTTTCAAGGAGAACCAGGTGTTCTCCTTGAAAGTTCTGGGACACACTAACCCCCTCCCCTAAAGRCCCCCCAAAGCACTATAAAAAACAAAAGAACTTACCCAACCTCCATTAGAGGGCTGCTGGAGCTCTCCTGGCACGTACAAATGATGTGCCAGGAGAAAGGGCGGGGGGAAGGAGCAATTTTCCTCCTCCCCCTCCCTTTCTCCTGGCGCATCAATTCTACACACCAGGAGAACTCCGGCAGCCCTCTAATGGAGGTTGGGTAAGTRCTTTTTTTTTWTATAGTGCTTTTGTGGTCTTTTAGGGAGGGTTTGTATTCTCAAAATTTTCTGGGCTGATTTAGCCCAGAAAACCATGGGAATACTGTCTGGACTGCAGTCCAGAGACTAGAAGTAGTGGGTTTATCCCACACCTACTCAGAATATACTGAATAACACCCCCCCCCCAAACAATTTAATTTGCCACCAACCAGAGTTTTCCGGGTTCAGTGAATTAATTTGGGTTTTTCCAGGACATCATCTGGATAGCCCCCTTTTTGTTGAGCCCATATTAAAGGGGCTGTCTGGATGCGCTCCAACTTGCTTAGAACCAAACCAAAGTTACAAGACTCAGAAAGCTTAAGTAGATAGGCTGGTTTTAACTTTTGCCCCACAATAAGGCCACCATTAGTATTATCTAGGCTTCTAAGAACAAGAATAGCATTTTATATCTTGAATGTCACAACAAAGAATAACCTTTTCAATGCTTTTGCAGAATACATTGATTTCCTAATAGTGGGACATGGAGACAGAGCTCTGTGACAGATATTAGTGTTTGAGTGGGTTAGGACTTAAAGGAGTGGTGCTTTTTCATGTACTGAGAGAGATAAACAGCTGGAGAAAAACAACTAGGGTTAGTGCATGAATGAGAATCTTTGGTATTCCAGGTGTCTTGAGCTTCAACAGCCAAAGTTCTAGACAACGTGGTCTATGGCTAAGGATAATGGGAGCCAGTGTCCAATACACCTGGATAGTCACTTTTCCATTTCTAGGTTCAGGCAAGAAAATTCATGTGCAATATTTTGAACAATTGAAATGTGTCCATTCTACTGCAAGTGGAAGTATGGAACTAAATTAGCACCCAACAGAGCTTTGCCTTGGAGTAGAACAAAAAGTAAGCCTACTTTTAATAAAACTCACCTTTGAGACACCCTAGTTCATGCTGTGAAATGAAAGAACACAGCAGAAGTACTTCAGTAGAAGAGCTAAAAGGGCATAGACCTAGGGTAGGAGCTTACATGCTAGAATGCTGTGAAAACTGTTCCTCCCCTTCCAAACTTCTTGCTGTGCAATGTCTAATTTAAACATAGCAGTGAATAACTGAAGCACCATGTGGTGCCAGACATTTTCAAGAATAGTCTACATGGGCATCACTCTAAGATTTTGATTCATGCTGTTTCTTTTAAGATGCTGATTCTGCAGTGTGCACCTTGCTTCGTTTCCTTCTCTGTATACTAATGACAATCCCTGACCTGTCTTTCTTTCCACAAAATACAGAAAGAAAGAAAAAAAAGAAAGAAAGAAGAAAAGGAAAAGGAAGAAAAGAAGTGAAAATGTGCCTTTAAAACACATCTACGGCATTACAAATTAGTATTCTGGTTGCTCTTCTTTGTAAGTCATGCCAATTTTCTTTAATTATTGCAATAATGAGAATGCTTTCATTGATATTTTCAGCAGGCTTAGGACAATTCTGCATAAATGTCATTGCATATTTTTTGACTTTGCAACAAGGACTGAAAATAGACTTACAATAACAATGACATATTTTGCCTGGTATTGTTTTGCTACTGTGCGTTATTGTTTCTCATTCATTCCTACACTGTTTTAGTCAAGCAGTGTCCTCATAAGGCAAAATATTTATTGATTATCACTATCCATACATAAATCCATGAAGCAAAACCAGACATTATTATCTGCAAACATGGCCCAACAGCACTGTGTTTAATGAGATAAGAGGGATCATTGATACAGAGTTAGGGTGGCTGGCTGGTCTGTAGGCCATATGTGACCCCTAGATCACACTATTGTGGACCCTGAAAACCCACACCAATCTTTCTGAAGCCCACAATTTCCCAAATTTTAAAAAATAATAGGCATGATTTCCAAGTAAATTTTGCCCCAGTATCATGCAGAAAACCTTCTAAATGCATGAAAATATACAAAAAATACTTCACTCTATCCACACAAGCATTTTAGAGAGTGATTTTGTTTCAGTCAACATAGATATATTTCTGTCTATCTATCCATCTAGGGTTGATAAAGTTGATGATCTATATTTATTATTTATTAAAGTTTAAAATAAATAGAATGATCTGATGCATGCTGAATGAAACAACATGACTTCTGGTTACCATTTTGAGAAGCCTGCTAAGGAAAACTGAGGCATTTTTGCTTGTGTCTGCTCTCTCTCTCTCTCTCTTGCAATAAAAGATCTGCAGAAAGGACATTTTTCACTTTTTGTTGTAATTTCTTCTGGTGATCATACCAACATGGTGATCGCTGGTGGGGCATATATCCCTGCTAGCATTCTTCACCAAGACGTCCCTTTCTAGCACTGCTCACAACTCCTGGTGACTAGTGAAGTGGTGGTGGGGATATCTTTCCAGGAAAAAAAGAGTCATCTCTCTCCTGGACCTCCAGCAAGTAGTCCATCTCTATGTCCAGTGCATATTACTCAAACTGTCTTTGTCTCCATGACTTGATCTCTCATACACACATGCACACATATACAAAATCTCTCCATGTGTGTCACAGTATATATGGATGGATGGACAGAGAAAGAGACAGACAGACAGATCTTGTCCAAGTTGGCTGAAATTCAGTGGCTTGTTTTGGTTTCCCCCCCCTCAAATGAACAAAAGCGTCTTCTTCTCACAGAGTTATGTCTAGGATATTTTCAGCTTTAATGTGATATACAATATTGCAAGATTGTATTGAGGTGAGAGAGCTGTTATTTGTACACCTTTAGTTGTAAATCTAAAGTGCAATTGTTGTTTGAATCATTTTGGAGTTAATAAGCTCACCTAGTCACTTATGGCGAGAGATTATGAGAACTGCAAACCAGCATTATATAGAAGGCCATAACTGATTATCCATAGCATAGCAAATTTTTCCTGAGGATACTAAGGTGACATTCTTGACTCTGGCATCATCTGTTGGGGAGGGGTGGGGGAGTAGCAGACCAGGAAATACCAGTTGTACTGTCTTACCATGGCTGTAACATATTGGACTACAGTCATAAAGAGGAGAAACTAAGAACCATATGTGGCAAAAATCACATGGCAATGAAGTAGGGTAGCCTTCAGAGGGGATTTGGTGACCCAGAACAGCACCAGGAACAATGGTAACCTACTATAGAGAACTAGTATAGTGCCGTGGTCTAACTGTTAAACTAGAATACTGAGTCACCAGGTTTCAAATTCCTGCTTGGTCATAAAAACCCATTGGGTGACCTTAGACAAGTCACACAAAGACTATGAAGAAAGCAAAAACAACTCTCCTCTGAACAAAGTCTTCCAAGAAAGTGTATGGTAGAGTCACCTTAGGGTTGCCATAAGTAAAAGGTGACTTAAAGTCACACAACAAAAGCAACAACTGACCTCAATGAGTATTGCAACGACATCATGCTAAGGATGAGAAGTTAAGCAAACTGGAGTAATGGACATAGTAGTTATATTAACTAGAGGTGAATGTCACTCAGGACTAGGGTAGCATCAATGGTTGAGTGTATTTTTCAGGGAAAATGAATGCATTTCCCTATTCACGCATATGCTGACAGCTCATTTTCAGGTGGTAGCATTGCTTCTCAACACATTGCAGCTTCAATCTTCCCACTGTGAAATTTTAGACAGATCTTGTATGCTGAGTCCTTGCCAGCCCTATTAATATTTATACATTCTATACACATCCCGGTCAAAGCATATAAGTTGCAGATCTTTCTGATTTGGAGGCTATTAAGATTCATGACCCCTTTAGCTATTTACTCTGTGGTCTAGGCGCCTTTGCCATCAGCTTACAAATCATTACTGTTCAAATATTGCCCTGTACTATGTCCATTTGTAGTCCATCAAAGAGCAGTTAAGATCTTTAATGCATTCATTTATCTCTTAGACACATGTTATTAGGAGAGACAACCCAAGAGATAGGATAGAAGACTTAGTTTCTTGGCAAAATAATCTTTTAAATTCTGGATTAATGACTATTTGTTTGAAGAGACCTCTCTGATTAAGGAATAATACCTCATTAACTTTTCCCCTGCCCAACCTGCATTTGAAGTTTGACACTGATAAAAAGGTATCCCAATATTCAAGGAGATAAACTTTAGCAAAAAAAAGTTAGCCTTTTAGCCTTTAGTCTTTATGACAATATAGGTCACTATCCCACAGAGAGAGAAAGAAGTCAAAATACATACTGCATTATTTGATAGGGTCAGCAAGTTACTATTTTGAACTACAACTCTCAGAATCCATCACTTGATATGGTTATCTCCTAACAGTTATTTCCTTCTTTTTTCATCGTGCACAGTTCTGCATCTCTGAGCAATTTAGGTATCAAAGATGATGAGCATGAGTTGTCCAACTTTGTCCATAATATAATTTAGCTAAAGTTAATGATATTTAGATATTATTAACATTAACACTATCAACTTCTGACCAGTCTTACTTAGCCTTTGGAGATATGTCAATTATTGTCTCTCTAGAAAAGAGTATTTACCTTAATTCAAAAAGTGCTGTATAAAAGTTATGACTTGTTCTCATAGGACTATTCCTACAAACAATGTTTTACATAAGTGCTACTCAAAACTATGGGCTGTTGTTGGTGCACAATAAATTTCCAGGGCAGCAAGAAACAGTTGTAGTCAATGGACACAAATATAGCATTGGCCTATGACACATGGAGAGAAAAAAAATCAGTTCTCCACATCTGATAACTTAAGAAATACTAGTTTACACCAGAGAGGGTCAAAATATGAACATTGGGATAGGCATACACATTCTTCCAGCACTACTTAATTTATTATTCCATAGGGTTTTGTGAAGCAAGGGATACATAGTGGGATTTTTGCCAGTTGCTTCATCTGAAATAATAGCATACAGGACCTGGGATTTATTGGTGGTGTTCCATTCAAGTACTAGCCAGGGCTGATTCTGCTTAACTTCCAAGATCAGATAGAACTTACCTTTAGGATAATGGTACTTTTCCCCCTTATAGCCTCTGCCAAACGGAGCCCCCGGTGGCGCAGTGTGTTAAAGCACTGAGCTGCTGAGCTTGTTGATCGAAAGGTCACAGGTTCGATTCCGGGGAGCGGCATGAGCTTCCGCTGTCAGCCCTAGCTTCTGCCAACCTAGCAGTTTGAAAACATGCAAATGTGAGTAGATCAATAGGTACCGCTCCTACTGGAAGGTAATGGCGCTCCATGCAGTCATGCCGGCCACATGACCTTGGAGGTGTCTACGGACAATGCCGGCTCTTCGGCTTAGAAATGGAGATGAGCACCACACCCCAGAGTCCGACATGACTGGACTTAATGTCAGGGGACAACCTTTACCTTTACCTACTTTTCCATTATCCACATGGAGGCCACAAGAGGGTGCTAGAGAGAGAAGGACAGTCTATTTTATAGGAGGGGGGAGTTGAAGGAAGAAAACAATTTCCCCTGTTTTCTCTGGTTATCCCCCCTCCCCCCATGTCATAGACGAATGTTGTTTCCACAATAGGAACATCGGTGGGAGAAATAACAAGAAGACAGGGGAAAACCATTTTAACCCTTGGCCCCACCTTGCACCCTCATAAAATGGACTATCATACTCTCTCTAGCACCCCTTTATAGCCTCTGACAAAGGGATAATTAGCACAAGGCATTAAAGCAGTGGTTCTCAACCTGTGGGTCCCCAGATGTTTTGGTCTTCAACTCCCGGAAATCCTAACAGCTGGTAAACTGGCTGGGATTTCCAGTTGTGGGCCAAAACACCTGGAGACCCAGAGGTTGATAACCACTGCAAGGACCTTCTGGTAAATGGAATGGAGTACACTTTATCTGTGATAGAGTAAATTATGACCCTTTTGAATCTACTCCTCTTGGATGTGATATTGGGTCTTAGAATCTCTGAATCTGACAATTGACCACATATACTATTTCTTCTGGAGGCATGATTATAACATAAGTTTTTAAAGAAAAATGTGCCTGTGTTTATATATGAACTCAAGCTCTATGGCACATTTAGCGATGTTTGAAAAGGAACATGAAAAGCAATCCTCAGTGAATGTGTCCCACCATGCACAAAGAAACAGAGAAAAAACACCATGAATACTCATGAGAAACCCACTGCAAGAGAATAACAGAGGTCACAAAGAACAAAAAAGATAGGGTGTGGGGGTTGGAGACCAAAGCTTTTACTGCTCAGTGCAGTACTTTATACCACCCAGTTAGCTTTCCAGCCTATTTTTTTCTCCAATGAAATGAGCAAGTTCTGAGTCCTATTGTTCACAACTTTTTCAATTACGAACTCCCTGCTACTGAGGCTTAAGAAGAACAAGGCTATCCATATTCCTTTTAAAATAGTCATTCTATTTTTCATCAAGGGAAACAAAAAGAACCCTCCTACTCTTCG